ACAGTTTTAACTGGGAAACTGTCAGCATTTTAGACCAAGCCAAATCCAAATATGCAAGAGATTCTTGGAAGCCTGGTATTCAGACAAGGCAGCAATTAACAGATACATAGAGATTAACAGCATCTACGTGCTATTCAAAAGAGACAAAAGACCAGATCGCCTCACCAGCATTCAATCTCCAGCAATCATCACCCAAATAAGCAAAGGTCACCACCAGGCACACAATCAAGCAGTCAACATACGCTAATCAATGAACTACCAGAAGAGCAAAACAGAACCCCCACCCCCACTGGCAAGGCAGGCCATAGCAGATAAATAGAGAGCAAACCTCATCCCATTTTAGCATTGAAGATGTTACCTAGCTGGGTAATGAAACATTTGCAAGAAAAGAACCAAGCTCAGAGAACCCCAAGGACTCCACGGATCCATGTGACTCTTCAGTTGCAGGTTGCCCGACTTTGTTTTAAAGCAACAGCAGACGACATTTTGGTTGTGATGGGTCATTATAATTACATTTGAGATGGTGGGGCTGAGAACTGCAGAGTAAGAGGGGAAACATTATATATGCAACTGGGTCAGGATTGGGAGGAGTTGGGGAGGATTCTGTAATGTTTAACTGTGATATGCTTATTTTAGGGCTTATAACACAATTTCCAGGTGTTTCCTAATTCAGAATAACATGAATCTGTGCTGTATGTTTTCAAAAATCATGGTCAGAGAAGAAGTTCAGATGGTCAAAAAGAGGAGACTTAGGGATGTCATAAAGTCTTGGGGCTGCAGGATACCAACCCTGCTTTGAAGTCATTCTTAGCATTGATTTACTGGTTAAGAAATGAATTTGTTTTCTAAAAAAGAAGCTGAAGAAAAAAGAGAAAGAAAAGGTTGGTAGCAAATGATAAAAAGAAGTGTGAATAAAACTAAGAGCTACTATCAAAGTACCATGTTCTGTTGGCTAGCTTCAGTGCCAGATGATGATGATTCACACACTAAAAATAGTGTATTTCCATTTACAGATTAGTCTGTAACAAAAGATCTATTTATGTAGTTAAGCTTAAAAGACAACAGGAACATAATGGCATAATCTCCAATGTCTAAGCGTTATTCATGTCAAGTGATGAATTTCTCCTGGTTTTAGTACTTTTGAACAATGCATGTTATCAAAACAATTCTCACTCTATTGTACCTTGATTTGGACATCCAAAAGTAAAATGATTGCACAAGATAGCTTACTAATTGGTTCAAGGCCCAGCAGCCAACACAGCTTGTATAAAAACTGGCTAACTATGCAATTCATTCATTCAATTACTGTGTGCAAAAGAAACAGACTATAAATGTCTTAAGCAGGTTACAACTGCAAAATGCAGTGCATTAAAAATACATATATCCTGGGAGAATTTCAATATTAGCTAAAATATAAAATCTGCATTATTCACATGTTGCAACCAAAGAAGTAGTACATAAATAATTTTGTAATCACACAGATCATGGGGTGGCTATATTCTTCATTAGAACATTTCACTGCTGGTACTGAAACAGTGAAATAGGCAAATAGGAACCAAACATAAGACAGGAGTTACAATCCAATAAAACTTTTAAAAATTTAAAATACAGACTTCCATTTAAACTTTTGCCAAAGTTGCAATTACTAATGGGAGAGTAACATCTTATATATGCTATGACAAATATAAACAGGCTGAATTTGTTCATTTGTAGATAAATACTGTGTATGAATCCGAATGTTGATTCATACGTCAGGAGCTTAAAGTCACAGAGAAATGTCTTCTCATGGTCTCTCTTGAAAACAAATTGAAGGGTGTAAGTCATGTTTATACAGTGCATTCAGAAAGTATTCAGACCTCCTTCACTTTTTTC